AACTCTTGACGTTCTTGACAGGGAGAGAACAGTGGTTGTGGGCGAGTTCTTACAGTGGTTGGACACTGAGACACCATTCTTATACATGGCACACTTTTATAAAAATCAAGTTTCAGGGCAGCAGTATTGCCATGAAACACGTTTCTTTTCAATTTGACTTTAAAGGTTTTGCTTTACAAATCTCTTGAAACTCCTCGCATGGCAACCTCTAAGCTTCAGAAAAAAACGCCATTGTCAGATGGGGGGGTCGATTCAGCTGCGGCTGTAATAGTTCGTCCAGACATTTGAAACTGATTTGTAAAGTATTATTTTAATTATGATTTCTTAATTTATTCCAGCTTCTTAGCCCTCTTATCTCAAAATGAATGTCCGGGAATGGTCTGAGGAAACAAAGACGTAAAAAGGATCAGACGCTGATTTGTGTACCAGCATTGCCCCAGAGACTGACTTTCTGCAGTTTCACTCACTGCGTTCCGAAAACACCTAACCTGTTTTTCTTGGTTACAGACTAATGGAAAGTGTCAGGAATTCTAAATGATGCAAAAAAAAAAATGTATAGGCTGCTTCGATTTTAAAAAAAAGTTTTTATCCGTCAGGCACTTAGTTATTTCTATGTAGGCTTGGTGTTACAGTTTAGGACTCAAGATTCTTTCATGGGGCAAACAGGAACTTTCATGTGCTGCTGCACCATTTCTTGTATAACTGCACCTCACAGTAATGACATCTGACATGAGTAGGACGTATTCTGAACTGGCTTTTCCAGTGGCTCCGTAACAGACTGTGGGGTCTTTTTTCCTGAATATGGTTTCCATTCCGTTTTAATAGATCATAAACCCCCAGTCCCCTGGGCTTTGGGAGCTCGCAGCTGAGGTACTTTAGCAGGAGGAGAGTAAGTGTTGATCCTGTAGCTCCGGCATCAGGCTGTATTAGTTTCTATTTTCGTTGGGAAATGCTGCACCTTCCTTTGGGATATTAACACAGCCACGAGCCAGGAACTGAAACCTTCCGTGCCAGCTGTGTGCAACCCAGAATGCTTCTGGCTCTCAAGGCTTTCATGATCTCAGCAAAGACTCTGGCCATTGGACCAGTGCCTCCTCCAGGCTATTGTTGCCTCCACAGGGAAGCACAGTGGGGGCAATGCATTGTTGAAGCCTTATTGGAGTAAGGATACGACCAAACTTCAGCAGTGAATGAAGTTTACAACAGAGGACTAACAGCTGGAAATTGTTGTTTTACAAATTGTTCTATAGATTAAAGGCCTTCTCCAATCCCACATCGCTGAACTCTAACCACAGCTGGGTTTATCCTGAAATTTGTTTATTGGCCCTCATAAATGCAGTCACTGGCTGGCATTTGTCTCGGTCAAGAAGTCCGAATGAGGACTGACCTGACAGATGTGAGGATGAAGGGAGTGGCCCCTCCCTGGATCAGGTGGAGTGACCTTTCTCGGTGACCAAGTGGGAGTGGTCTGTCTCAGTGGACAGGGGGGAGTGGTCCCTCCCTGGGGTCAGGTGGGTGTGGCCTAACGGTGACCAGATGGGAGTGGCTCTTCCCTGGGGTCAGATGGGAGTGGCCTGTCTCAGTGACCAGGTGGGAGTGGCCCCTCCCTGGGGTCAGATGGGAGCGGCCTGTCAGTGGCCAGGTGGGAATGGCCCCTCCCTGGGGTCAGGTGGGAGTGGCCTGTCTCAGTCTCATAAGAGCAGGGAACTTTGTTTGCTGTATGTGTTTGGTAGTGTAAGAGCTGTCCTTTCTGACCTCATGAGCAATACAAGAATTTAGAAGACAAAGATAGCAGTGTTTTAGGAAAGGTTGCCCTAGTGTTGCCGCATTCAGTTTTATCCTCCCTTCTGCTAACTTGTCAGAACCAGTAAATTATTACTTTTTTCTCTCTGAATTTGGGGGCCTTCTGCACAGATTTAATTCAGATTTTCTTTGGTGTCCTTACATTTTGTGGAAATTCCAAATCTTTAGCATTCAATCTCAGATTCCAAGGTGACACAAGATTCCAAAAGACACTGCAGGTGTATCTGTAATACACATTGTGCTTGTGTATATAAATAATGGTCAAAGGGAATGTTTTCAGATGACATGATAACCTGCTTTAACCTGAGTATTTTCATGCAGCGAAATGGAAGTCACTTTAAAAGCCCTTCATTTTAGAATAACTATGATGTTTGTGAAGATTTAGATAATTCCAATGTTTCTGCATTCCAGAGAGATGGTGTACAACAGAATAAGAAATCAGGCTCACATTTCATAGCAATTTGTTCCAGTTCAGACTTTGTGCAGCAGGATATATAATAGGATAAATACATAAATCTATCTGCTGCATGTAAATCCACGCAAGATGCTAGGCATTCCATGTTTCTTTTGAATAAATTTGCATTAAATGGCATTTGGGGTCAAAATAAAATGAAAAGCTTAGATGGCTTTTGTTTTCTCACTTGAATGTTTTTTCAGCAATGTATAGTGCTACTGCAGTTTAAACATTTAGAAACCAGGGTAAAAGTTGCTTGGGTAAAAGCAATTGAATGGCCACATAATCCTGATTGATGCCATATGGGACTGCCCACATGAATCCTATTGGAGCCATATGGGAATACCCATTTTCAGAGTTAATTTTCAGGAAAACTGGAGAATCCAACAGTCTTAAACTACAATTGTATCACAGAACATTTGGTATACATTTTCTGCTCCAGTGCTCCAGTAACACACTGGAAACACAATTTAAAAATCGATATGCCAAAAAAAGAAAAGGGGGGAAAATATGAAATATTTTACTACTGACCTATTTAATGAATTTATCATCTATTTATGAACTATTTCATAAATGTCTTTTTATACATTTCATAAACTGATTTTGTAAACAGACCTAAATGTGTTTTAGAATGAGTTTTACATCAATTCTAGAAAACTAAGTTAAAAGCTTGTATTTCTATGGAATGTGTTTTGCGTAATACTGTATATACTGTACCCTTCTGCTTTGTCAGTACAAAATGTGCTGCTGCAGCTTGTAAGACCATTAATGTATCCATCTGCTGTACAATTTACATATTCCTTCCATCCCTGCCATTAGAAGAGTAGTTAATGGTATAGTAGGATCAAGAATTTATCTTCAGATCTCAGTAAAGTGGGCTAGCGGCACTGTCTTTTAAACTGTGTGAGACTGATATCTACTTAGGCTGAATTTGGATATTATCTAAATCAAGCAAAGCAGTTAAATCTTTTCCTGTTTCTCAGTATTTTAACATTGGCAGTTTTTATGTACTGCATGTACATGGTCAGATTATGTACATGCAGTGCTCAGAGGACATTCCCAGGCCTATGAGCGCGCCTCTCTCTTGGGAAAGATGAAGGTCCCTCTATGCTGTTTGTCTCTTAGTAATGAAAGTAAGATGACTGCCTGGATTAGATGAGCCACTTCTTTTTTGTTTGTGTGGCTTGATGCTATTCCAGTGCTGAAAATGTGTAGTTTAGACAAGGCTTGATTACAGAATGGGATTCCCAGTTTTAGGGGGGGAATTCTGTTTGCAAAGTTTTTTTTTTCCCAGAGAAAAAGGAGGAGACATTTAATGAGTGGCTCTTTCCTCTAAAGGTTTTAGCCACACTGAGGGTGAGAGCATATGGAGCTGTTTAGAGTCTCTAAACAGTGACAGTTTAAACTGAGGATTAGGGGTCTAATTCATAATGTAAAACCCAGTCCTTCCTAGGCAATAAGTGTTCTTCCAGTGAAGGTGCTGGTTCAGGTAAAAACTAATTCAGAAATACTGTAAGTCTAAACTTTTTTCATTTATCTTTCCAGTTATGTTTAATACCTTTATGATTTTTCCAGAATGTGTTCACGGAACTATTTTTGCTGTTTTAAGGTAGTTAGGTTTTTTTTTTTTCAGCTTTTACAGAAGAACATCGTTTCTATTGCTAGTGAACTACATTCAAGATCAACTTCTGTTTTCCTAGAGTGCCTTTCCATATGAAATTGTCTGGAGGTCATTGAACAAGCCTGGGCTTTCATCCAAAACAGTCCAATTGTTTTCTTTGGAGTCTTACAGAAGGTAAAATTGCGATGATGGAGTGAGTGATTAGGTGGTCAGAGCTTCTTTACATCTGCTGAACAATGTATCGCATCATTCCATACTGTAGCTCAGCTTTCACTTATCATCAGCTTCCCTTCAGCAAGGAAAAGTGCTGATGCTTCTCATAGTATATCATGTGTTATGACTGTTATATGGTAATTCTTCAGGTCTGACACCAAGAGTCCTATGTTTTGAATGTAAACACCAATAACTAAAGGAAAACAGTTTTATGGAACTACCAATTCATTTCTCTGGATGTGTTTTTGTCATTATTATTATTATTCACTTTGAGCAGATAGAGAGAGGAGGCTGTTCATTTGGCCTGGCTTTTTTTTGTGTTAGTTTAGTACTGTAGTTTAATTTTAAACTCTGTCCAGCTGTTTCTTGAATGATCCCTAAGTCTGGGCCTCAACCTCCTGTTGGGAAATCTGTTCCACAAACCTACAACTCTTTGTGTAGAAAACATCCACTTCAAAATCCTAAATTAAATCCCATTTAGTTTCTAGCTATGAGCCATGTTAGCCTGAAATAGTCCTTTGGCTAATTTTGTCTATACTCTTTAGTATTTGTTTGCACTTGGATCAAAACTTCTCTCAATTTCATTTGCTCTAGACGGTATCAAAACAAAACAGCTCCCTTAACCTGTCTCCTGGTTAAATGACAATTCCCTGAAACCAGGAATCAGAATTATTCCTCTTCTTTGAACTCATTTAAGGTTATAATTTCTTTGTGGTATCATGACCTAAACGGAAGACAATTTCCTAAATGAGAACTTGCTGTTGTAAAGACTTGATTTAAACTCCTGTAATTCAAATTGTGCACATTTTGCTATATACCCATGTGTTCCAAACATTTTTATTCCTTCCCCACACATTCTCCCAGATCCCCATCTTCCTGCTTTGTGATGTGTAATGTGCGTTCCAGCATGCTGCATGGGCAGATTAGTGCTTAGCGGTGTTCAGTTTTATTTACCAGTTGTCTGGCCAGGCCTTGGATTTTTTTGTGTTTTCCCAGCTGCTGCATGTTTACCATATCCCCTATTTTTCTATCATCTGTGAATTACTACACCAGAATTGAAATCACTTAGACTCATTAAGCAACAGGCCTAAAACAGATCCCTGTGGTACACCATTACTTTTCATTATTTCTACATTTGCTCTTATTTTGTTAACCACTTCTTAATCTATATGTTTACATTACCTTGGATTCCTGTGTCTTTTAAATGTTTAAATACCGTGTGTACAGTTATTAGACAGCTGCTGTCTTCCACAATGTGGAGTTTTGTTAGCATCCGCATGTCATGTCTTACCGTCTGAGCTGAGTGTGCCTATGGGTACGGGGGGGATCCCCAGCGGGCTGGAAGTGGGTGAGGCGTCCATGCGCACCCCCCTGTCCCGAGGGAAGGCCCGATTGGGATCCCTCTGGATCTCGTTGCTGCTGGTGTAGCGGTTGTTGATGGGGATGTTCTGGGGCACCACTTGCACCAGCGGTGGCATGGCAGGCAGGTCCTGGCGAGTGAAGGTGCGCAGGCACTGCTCTTCCAGCATGGTGATGAGCACCGACTGGTTGTTGACCAGCCCAGCCAGCGCCGAGTAGCGCAGCTCGAGCTCCTTGTAGCGGCTGGCGAGGCGCAGCATCTCGGAGGTGACGTTGAGGATGCGGTTCTCCAGCTGTGCGATCTCCAGGGAGTTGTCCCTCTTGCGGATGATCTCGTGCAGCAGCTGCATGTAGAGCTGGGTGACGCGCGAGTTCATGTTGCGGCTCTCCTTCCGCAGCAGTTTCATTTCGTTCACCATGTTGCCGTCCACGTCCACCACCAGCTGCAGGGTCTCGATCTCCCGCCGCTGCTTGGACAGCACCTCCTTCACGTCCGCCAGGTCCATGCGCGTCACCCGATCCTTGTCGGGCTCTGGGCCGGTGGAGTGGGCGCAGATGGGCCCGGTGATCTTCTGCTGGGGGATGAGGAAGGTGTAGGAGCACTTCCTGTTGGCGTCGTCCTCGGCCGCCCGCGCGCTTCTCCTGCGTGATGCTGCGCTAGTCTGTGAGGGCGACGCCCCTCTCCGGCACTCCCCCCAGGTCAGCAGACACAACGTGGCACACACACTCCATGCCGCCACCCTCATTGCTTCCCTTTAGGCCTTCTGCTGCCGTCTTTAGGGGAGCTGATTTCAGGTCCTCGAAGCCTGGAATGGAGATGACACTGGTAAGCCTCAGTCCCTGCGGAGACAGTATGTTGATAAGTTGTAACTGTGCAGTGTTTCAGGGGGCTTCCGGTTATTCTCCCAAACCCATTCCTCACTTAAAAGGTTGTGAATTGAACTGCTTTTATATTCTGTGTGCATTGCTTTTAAAACCAGTTAAAAAGAGTGATTTTAAGGATTAATATGGATAATTAGGGCTGCTTGATATACATGCATTGCTTAGTTATGAGTGTCCAGCACACAAACATCAGAACATCACACATAAGAAACTCCATGAGATATTATGTGAATAACTCTGTGCATACAAGCACCATGCCACATGTGAACAAGTCACCATCTTGGGACCTACTTGCAGGAGCACATGTGCTGTCCATTGCTCGTCTGTGACCTTCCAAGTAAGACCAATGAGCATTCATTCTGTTTGTGAAACAAAAGATGATCCTAACTGACTGATCGTGACGCTGACATATGGATGATCATGGAAAAGGAAAGGGATTAGCTTTGCAGTGAAAGTGACAGCCTAAAGCTTTTGGAGACAGGATAGCTGCCGTCACAGATTGGGTAGGTGCTTGGTGCTTTAAGTTGTTCTCAGTGGGGATCAGAATCCATCAACCATATCACACAGAAAAACATGGCATCATCTATTATTTTTCATTGCAGATTAACAATGTTTCATCTATATTATGAATGAAGTAGAGTTTTGTGGTTTAGACTGGGAAGCTCACCACCGTTTGTATTGAGAAAATGGTTTTCAAGTTCTAAACTTATAAACTCACTTTTCAAACACAACTCCTTTGTAAGTGTGGGGCTGTTATATCAGTCAGTGTAAGCATAATGCGAGAGATGTACTGTTACGTTCTCACCACATTCAGTACGGTCTTGTAGGTAATGAAGCGGTAAGGAAGGTGTGGTCGGGCTGCCTTGATCTGCAGTGAAGAAGGAAAAGCAGGCTTGTATCCTGACATATTTCCAGGAATAGCAAAGAAAACTGAGCCTAGTACAAACTGATTTTGATACTACAGAAGGCCAGAGTCCAATTCTCCCTGCTTTGACTTTCTTTTTGAGTCTTATAGAACCTGAGTGGGTTGAGTCATGGGCAAGTCACGTGTGTGTGTATATATATAAAAAAAGCTTTTCACTGATGTTTTTAAGGAAATCCTCTTTATCCTAAAGCACTCTCTAACTGCAGACCACAAACCAACCTTTGCCCTTCCCATCTGGATGAACTCTGAATATACAGTACGATAGCTAGCAGTTTTTCTTTGAAGTCTTTCCAGCTAGGCATTGCATCTCAGCGTACTATAGGCAAGTCTGTCTGTCATGACACATTATGGTACTTTATGCTTACGCTGGTATCCGTTCTTTGCGAATTTAACCAGGTATAGCTACTATTATTGGTGTCATTGAATATTCTGCTGTACAACGGCACCAACTCGCGTGCGCTGGTCCTCGTGGCTTGGCTGCAGCCTTGTTTTATAATGGAGGCAGATTCATTTTCAAATGCCAAGGCTCCCTTTCTTTGGTCTCAGATTTCTTGTGTTCAGTCCCGTTATGCTTTCCCTAGGGAGTCTGATCCAATGGCAAAGTTTAAAGTTCCATTTGTGTGCCTCATACCCAGATCTGTTTTAATCCGAATTCAACCTGGTTGTCCAGCTTCCGTTTGCGGTGAGACACAAATGTCTAAGCGTCATCTTTTGTTAGCAAGAAACAAAACAGGGTTGCATCGGTACATTCAGAACATGCATTGCAGCAACCAAATTCTTCCCGAGTCCCTCAGAGAGGCTGCACTCCTTATCCTGCTCTGACTGCAGGCACTCATGGTCTTCTTTGATCCCCCTCTTTAAACTTGAAGATCACATTTCTTCAACTGTCAGGTCTGCTTTCCATCACCTTCAGAATATTTTGCACATCCGCCCATTCCTCTCTGTAGTTGAAGTCCCTCCCCCTGTTTCTATTCTCGTACTAAGGTGCTGTGTGGCAGATTTTTACACTCAATTACAGTTTGCTTAAAATGCGGTTGTCAAAATATAGTATCTTGGAGAAAGGAGTTTTGTCTAATTTGCACTACTTCTCACCCATGAATGCGCTACATGCTCCTTCTTTTCCTTCTCTCTGACCAGTCGACTCCTTGTGTGTTAATCAACCTTCCAGATTACAAGAGGAAGGCTTCTCGAAGTGACTATTGCTTCAACCCTGCTGAACCCAAGACTACATAAGTACCATCTGACACTAAGAATGCTTAGGCTTTTTCGTTTTGAAGAATTTGTTTGAATTTATTTAAATCAGAGTTAATATTTTAAATCCCTTTATGGTTGTGGCAGTGTTTTTCTGTCAGGTCGTTTGGAATGCGTAAGTGTTTAATCTATATTGTGCTGTATTTGTGAACTTAATTGCACTGTCCAAGAATGTGATAAGAGATTTCCTTTGGCATTGTCCCCGAGACGCAGGATCTTCCAGGAATTAAAGAATGTCAGATGTGCTGCCACAGTAAATTCTCCGTCTTTCAGCAGCACCATACTTGTCTAATTTTTTTTCCCTTCCCCTGCTGCAGTTCTGAGGAATGTCTAAAAGATATTGCTGTCTCTCTTCCACTCTTCCAGGCAAGTGTGTTCCAATTTTTATGGAAATCCACACTAAAGACTGGACTTCTGGTTTAGGAGTTCGAGAACAAACCTTTTGGTTTCAATGCAAAATTAATGTTTCCATTGCTGCAATACTTATTTTTCTTTTGAACAATGTAAAATTAATATGAGTAGTAAAGGGACAAAAATGCTAGTTTCTCGCCAGTTCTTGTGATTGAATCCATTACCTTTTATACAAGCTCTGTAGAAAATCTGTTTCATGAGACAAAGGTGCTCTTGTTAACTGTTAATCTGAATCAAACCCCAAAAAGTATGATGTAGAGCAATAGATATCCAGGGTGGTGAACAAAGCAAGGGACCGGTGCTCCTGGCTGGACTTGTTTTGACATCTGTGGAAAGAACAGTGTGCTAGATCAAACTCATTTTACATAAGAATATTAGTAATGTGGAATGTAACCCCTGTTTTTTAATGTAATGACTTTCTCTTCAGCAGTTCTTTCTGGCTGTGGTGCATGGTATGCTTAATTGGCATGGGCAGCATAATGGATGTTAATAGACAGTGTGTCAAAAGGCTGATGGGCCTTTCCAAACTTGTTGGCACAAGTATCTGCGCAGAAAACACCATTAGAATTCCTAACAGATGTTGCATGCCCAGTCCGAGCCAACTCTTAACCACAGAAAAGGAGCCAGAATGAGGCTTGTCAAATCCCTGTCACAGAAGACTGAAAGAAAGCATTGCGCTCTAAAGTTAAGTCTGTATAAATAAGTGGTCCAGTTTCCTACAATGCCAATGAGGAGTGCGATATCAAAATGTCACAAAATGGCTGAGAATCATCTTCTGTGGCAAAATAATTCATTTGTAAACACCTGTGAGTTTTAGTAACGAACTCTGGTGATTGCAATTTTTTTGGTGGCAAAACAGGTAAGTGTTCTGAACCTATGAGTTCAAGAACATGCGTTCTTCCTCAAGAGTGTCTGACACTTAACAGCGTGTTATCTGTGGTGGTGTATAAAGGTCAGCCTCTCCCACTCCAACTGTCTGCCTGTCATATAATGTAATGTCTTGAACAACAGAGCTGGGCAAGGAAACCAGCCCGGTGCTTACTGAGTCACCCAGGGCTTTGAACTCCACATATCCCTATCTCTGGTCTACCACTGCTCTAATTGCGAATGGTGTGTTCTTAGCTAGTGTGCTTTGCTTGATGAAACAGTATTTTGTTATATTTATAATTCTTCATGCCATGCCACCTCTCTGAAATTGCATCGGTACACATACCAGAGATAAAGGGTCCGCACAACTGTTTTGTTCTCTATACCTTGAATATTGCAAGTCAGTAAGCTGGTACTGGACAGCTGGGAGTACAACTAATGAATAGTGAACCTAAGATACTAAGAACTAACTACATTAACTCGGTTTTGTCAGTGGCTTCAATGAAAACCCTGTGCATTTGTAAATAGCTGGAGTTTATTTAAACATTTTCACAATATGATTTGAATTTACTATTTTTGGATTTTGGAATATGTAGCTCATAATAGTGGCTTGGACCGCCGGGATGATCCCACAGCGTCACCGAGTTGTGGTTGTGGCACTTGTCTGGTTTCTCAAAACGGCAAGATGGAGATTTCTGCACGCCTCAGGATATTTAAAGTAATTTCCTTGGGAACACATTGCACCCCACCTCTGCTGAGCTCAGCTTCCCGAAATGTGTGTACAAGGAAAGCTTAACACGGATACCATCTGTCACGGATAAGATCTGCTCTCCACTGTCGTTCATCGCTTCCTCATGTTCTCTGGCCGGGGTTGTTTGTCAAACTCTGGGGCAAAGAGTGGAAGAGCTTCAGAGGTGAGCCCGACATTGCAATGCAAGACAACATTTGTTTGTTTATTTGCATATGGCCATTATGGGTTTGTCAGAAGTGTAAATCCAGAGGTTTGTCCCCCCCCCCAGAACTGTCTATAGGTGTGATGTGTATTGCAGTTATGAAGGTTATCCAGCCGTGAAGGTCTGTACACACTGTGGGTCAGACCACCAGCAGACGAGCTTGATGAGCTGGGTGTTGGTCAGGAGTGATGTGATCAGAGAGGGAAGCAGGTCCTCCAAGGAGGTCGAGACCCATAACGGGGATAGAGTGCAGAATACTGGAGACTGCAAGCACCAGATCACGGCAACCAGAGGGGTGGAACTATGCAGGGTGGCAAATTTGCCACCCTACTTACACGGTCAGCGCGGTCCTGACTAAAACTCTAATTGGAAATAAGGCAAGGTCTTCTCTGGGAAAAGGGATAGTCTTGAGCCTCGAACTTCACAACTGCTGCATGGATTTAAGCAAAGTTGCATTCTGTAAGATACCACTGTGGTGCAAGAGCTGGTTTTAAAGAGCAATTGTAAATTTCTAGTACATTTAATATTAGGAGATGTATCTTAAGATGGGT